GCGGGTTCTTTGACTGAGTACCTCCGTTACTTCTTGGCTTCCTAGGCTTTTTCCAGACCATTCTGTATCATCTTGCTGTATCAAAGTATTCAGTGCCATTAGAAGCACTCAGATGCCCATCGCAAAGTACTCTGAACAGCATTCAGAGGTGAGATGTAGCGATGTAGAAATGTACCTTTACCCCACACCATGAGTGGAGACTAGATGTAAGGGTTAAACAGAACTGACTTTAATACAACTGTGCAGAGGTATTTATACCCACAGATGGTCATATGTATACAAAAGGGTAATTAACAGTATATACAGTTTCCCATCAAGTCCTCTTCATATAACCCCTTGTTTTTCTTGCTGAAAACAACCCTAAGCTCCATCAAAACAAACAAATACTCAGCTCCATTTTGTCCATATAATTCAAACATCATGAAACAATGAATGCCGATTGTAAAAATCCCACCCAAGCAAAAGGTACTCCTACCCTGCAACCATTGGGCCATGACAATCATGATTTATAACAGTCAGTTTGGCTACAACCACATATTAATATCAAAAGGAGTGACGCTCTTAATACATCAAGATAGACTTTTGATCCAGTATGAAAATTTTTATATATTAGAATGCAGGGCCTGTACTTACCTAATTGGTTCCAGACGTACTTCTGGCTCCAGACTCACAAACAGACTGCTGGTGACCCATACTGCCGAACAGCGCGTGGTGCAGTGTTACTTTCTTCAAACTGAACTTTTACCGGTCGGTAAACAGGCTGTCGACCTAGCCGCTGCAAGAGAAACAGATTTTAAATAAAAAGAATGAGACAGCGCTAGATAACTATTGGGCAGCAACCTTAAAAAAGGGGAATCCCTCAAACCCTTTAAGACAAGATAAATAAAAACAATAAAAAAGGCTGCGCACATAAAATAAAGTCCAATTAAAAGGAAAAGAAAAAAGTCCAACTGGTTTATCCTTATAGGTGTCCTTGGTTGATGAGGTCTTCTACTATTGTAGTGGTTTCACTTATCATGAAAGATAAAAAGTGAATATTTTTTTTCAATAAATTTATTTTTTTTAAACTCTGCTTGTTCATTAAAATCTGTGAGAAACTGTTCAGAACTCACAGATTTTAATGAACAAGCAGAGTTTTTAAAAAATAAATTTATTTAAAAAAAAAATATTCAGAACCAGATCTGAATACCACAATCAATACAGTCAAACAAAAAGAACGAAATGAACTTCTGATATACAAAAATAAAGAAAATAAGGAAACTATATCACTTCCAGTTATTTTTAATTTTAATAACAAAAGCAACGATGTTAAAAAAATAATAAGAAAACACTGGCATATACTCAAACACGATGAGATACTTAATCCCATTATACCCACTCACCCAAACATTGTTTTTAGAGGAGCACCCAATTTTAAATCTATTTTAACTACAAATTTTACTAAAAAATCTCCTTCAAAAAATCTATCCTTTTTCCCTCAGACTAAAGGTTTTTATAGATGTAAACAATTATTATGTAAAACTGCGGATCATGTCATTTCACCTAAAGTTACAAAATTTATGTCCAATCAAACCAAAAAAGTGTATGATATTTATGGCTTTATATGCTGCCATACGAAAAATGTTATTTATCTGCTCGAGTGCCCATGTGGCCTCCAGTATGTGGAGATGACCACAAGGTGCTAAAAGATAAGACTGAGCGAACATTGCAGAAATATTAAAAATGGATACCTAAACCATACAGTATCCAAACATGTTATTATGCACAATTATTTCTGTGAACAATAAAGATCCACGCCTACTAAAATGTATCGGTATAAAAAAATGTTCTACCTCTTGGCGTGGAGGTGATATAAAAAAGCTACTTGGAAAAACAGAGATGGAATGGGTGTATAAACTTCAGACTCTTATACCCCATGGCCTCAACGCAGATTTTGACTTACACAACTTTCTATGAATATTTATGTAACTTGATGCCTGTACCTTTAAACTATGGTTTTATTGTTACTCATTTTTATCTTTTCAAACCTACTCTTTTATTATTATCCTTTATTTATTCTGCCCCTCCAATTTCCATTGTTCCCTTTTTAATATAAGGTGTATCTGCTTTTTAATTTTTGTATTATTGTTCAGCTCCTTTTATTACAAATGTATTTATAATCATATTCTCCATATTATCTCTCTCATTGAATAAGATGTTATGAGTATACATTGTTTATTTGCTTTTTATTATTAATTTTTAGCTGCTACCTAAACTACACTTCCCACAAGGCATTTCGGCCGTTAATGCCGAAAACCATGTGACCACCTTTTACTGCTCTAAATTACTATTTTGCACCTTCGTTTTAATTAATAAAGCCCCGAAATCACACTAGACAAACATAAAATAATAAAATGTTCATGCTTAGGTTATTTTCGAAGTGGCCGTCGCTCGTGGCAAAATTTAACTACATTTCCCATGTAGCATTGCGGCTAAACTTCCGAAATGCGGAAGTGCCGTCGATCATGTGACTATTTTTAAATGTCTAAATTCATACTTTCCCACCCTCGTTTTAGATTCACATATATTAGAATCATGTTGTAACATTATGAACTATGCTTCTATTAAGTTATTTATGTATTCTAAAGTTTTAAATATGTTTTTATTTTTGATTGGATGGACCAAGTTTTGGCGCCAAAATTCAATTAATTATGTTCTTATATAACATCCATGTGCCAGGTAAAACATGCTATTCCATTTGAAAAAGTCCTTTTGTGACGAAATGCGTTATGGATATTTGAATATTGTGTTTTTTATATATATTAAAGCATTTTTGGTCATTTGTTTGTGCCAATTATCTTTTTTATAGACACATACCTCTCTTTTTTACCCTGGCCTTTTATTGTTATTTTATTTATTTTTTACTGGTTTTATAAGAAACCTTGAAAATTCCTGGAAGTTTCCTGTACCCAAAGAAATCCTTAGGTGGGGATCAATCCACCCAAGCTGTCATCATAGAGCAGTGGGTCTGCTCTTATTTTGTAAGTACATTTCTTTTATTATTTTACTAATATTGCCATACAGTGAGCACTATTGGCTGTTTCTTTTATCCCGAGAATTGGATACCATTCACGGAGAGGAACCTGCCTTATATCCCATAAGCGGGGATTAAACCCCTGTACGCGCTTCACTCCAGAGCTGGACATTAGCTCTGGTAAATGTGAGTTTTATACTATTATTTTTACGTCTATATCTGAATTTTACGTACTACACCATTGGTTGTCCCCTTTTTTTTCTCTTTTTATCTTTCATAATAAGTGAAACCACTACAATAGTAGAAGACCTCATCAACCAATAAATTGGACTTTATTTTATGTGCACAGCCTTTTTTATTGTTTTTTTAAGAGAAACAGATTTACCTGCATTAAACAGTGAGTACAGATGGGTACAGCGGTATACTGTCTGTGTCTCACTGAGGCATCATGGGTATTTACGACCCGCTGGGGTCTCTGTGTACCCCCCCAACAAGGGACACAGAGGTTCTACCTGACGGCTCTCAAACCCCCCTAGCTATAGGAGCATGTAGGTCTTTGTTTCACCCGGCTGCCGGGGTCTGTAACACAGACCGGTACAACCCGCAGAGGTCTGGATGTTTTTTCCGGCAGCCGTTTCTCCGCACCCCAAACAAGGGGCACGAAGGTTGTTACTTACCCGTCAGAAGGGTAATCGCTCGCATGGTTTGAGCTCCCTCCACAGGCACAGGTCTGCTATAGGCCGGAAAGCACGACCACGTACAGCACTGCAACGGTAGAGCAGGCTGTAACCTCAAAAGGCAGTATAACACCTATCACTCACAGGCATTCAAAGGTGGATAATTATACATGGCAGATTGCAAGTCGGATATATGTATTATACAAGTCATGTTAATGTATTGATTAGTTTGTTGCAAAATTCTCATTTAGATACATGGCTGATTATTAGTATATATGTTAAAATAAACTGCAACGGGCATAACAGTTATGAATGGTTTTCAACTCTGACAGCTCTGCTTTATAAATTGGGAATTAATTGTCCTGGTAAAAAACAAAAAAAACTAATCGGTTGTATACTCATGTCAGGGTTTTTCATTAAATCTGCAGATATGCTTTCGTGATTCTAGACCAAATCACAATCTCAAGAAATATTTTTGTCGCCTTATAACTGGTACGTGCATTTAGTATCAGGCACTAGTTCTTAAGTCTCACATGGAGGGACAAGAAGCGGCATATGTTAACTCGGTATTTGTCATTTTGATCTCTAGATTCTACTTGCAGGGTTCAGAGACCTAGACAAAGACAAGAGTATTGTGTTTCTTCCATTGGTACGTGCACTATAAGTAACAATCATATGTTTCTTTACTCAGACATAATACCGCACTCGGTGCACAAGCACATAGATGTACGCCGGGTACAAACTGTACCGAGCAGACATTTACAATACTGCTATAACTCGTCCTACTCCGCTTCCTCCTCCTCTACCACCTCCTCATCCGGTCAGCATAACACCTTCACCACCAACTTCAGCACAGCCGGGGGAAACAACAGCAGGCTGTTTTAAAACTCATATGTTTGGGGTAAAACCCCACACCGCGCAGGAGCTGTGTACGGGCATGGAACAACAGACCGATGAGTGGTTGTTGCCACTGAGCCTCAAGCTCGGCCTGGTGGTGTGCGATAATGGGTGAAATCTTGTAGCAGCTCTGGGACTAGCCGGTTTTACGGACATCCCTTGCCTGGCACATGTGCTGAATTTGGTGGTGCAGAAATTCCTGAAAAACTACCCAGATATATCAGAGCTGCTGCAGAAAGTGCGGGCCGTCTGTGTGCGCTTTCGGCGTTCTCACCCTGCTGCTGCTCGCTTGTCTGCGCTGCAGCATAACTTCGGCCTTCCTGCTCACCGCCTCATATGCGACGTGCCCACAAGGTGGAACCTTGTGTCCACCTTGCACATGCTGGAAAGACTGTGCGAGCAGCAACAGGCGATCGTGGAGTTTCAGCTGCAGCACGCACGGGTCAGTCGCTCTGCTCCAGACTTGCCCTCCAATAGATCCTCGTTAAAGGATTTAAAGTGTACTCATTCCAATTACAGGGTCTCATAAAGAGTCCTGTATTGTTATTTATCGTCAATACCTCCCAGCGTCGAGAGTGGGTAATTTGCGCGCCTGCTGCCTTCCTTGGATGTGGTAGCCATTTCTCAGGCTCCCTCTCCGGAATCAAACCCTGATTCCCTGTTACCCATGGTCACCATGGTAGGCGCAGAAAGTTGATAGGGCAGACATCCGAATGCGTCGTCGCTGTTACGGGGACGTGTGATTGGCCTGAGGTTATCTAGAGTCACCAAAGTGCCTCCGCAACGACTGCCGAGTTGCCCACATTCTAACTTGTGCTGATTACTGGGTGGCCAGCGGAAACTGATGTTTAAAAGGGAGATATGGTTCTAATGGATAGCAAACAGATGTTCAGGTACTGTAACCTCTAGTAAAAACAATGAAAAATTAAAGTGCGCTGTGCCTTTAAGACTCAAAACAGTGAAAATAATTTGTGCAATATTGTGCAAATAAAGTGATCAAGTGCATCAATGTGCAACTCACTTCAACATATATACATACAAAATGTGCAAAAAAGTGTTTCTTTGTGCAACCAATTATGTGCAAAAATACAATACTTAGCTTTTCCCAATTATGGAATGTGCTTTAGAACTTCTGTCAGCACTCCAATATATGTCTCAAAAAGAGAAATGAAATATACAATCATAGGGTAGTATGTACTAACAATGATAAATTATTTATCATTATTTCTGATGACTTAAAGGTAGGCAGACAATGTAATAGAGCAGCAGGAAATGCTAGCAGAATGCTTGGTTGTATAGGGAGAGGTATTAGCAGTAGAAAGAGGAAGTGCTCATGCCATTATACAGAACACTGGTGAGACCTCACTTGGAGTATTGTACACAGTACTGGAAACCGTATCTTCAGAAGGATATTGATACCTTAGAGAGGGTTCAGAGAAGGGCTACTAAACTGGTTCATGGATTGCGGGATAAAACTTACCAGGAAAGGTTAAAAGGATCTTAACATGTATAGCTTGGAGGAAAGACGAGACAGGGGGGATATGATAGAAACATTTAAATATATAAAGGGAATCAACACAGTAAAGGAGGAGACTATATTTAAAAGAAGAAAAACTACCACAACAAGAGGACATAGTCTTAAATTAGAGGGGCAAAGGTTTAAAAAATAATATCAGGAAGTATTACTTTACTGAGAGGGTAGTGGATGCATGGAATAGCCTTCCAGCTGAAGTGGTAGAGGTTAACACAGTGAAGGAGTTTAAGCATGCATGGGATAGGCATAAGGCTATCTAACTATAAGATAAGGCTAGGGACTAATGAAAGTATTTAGAAAATTGGGCAGACTAGATGGGCCGAATGGTTCTTATCTGCTGTCACATTCTATGTTTCTATCTTTAA